ACGATGTTATCTGTATTTGCGTCTCCCCTCAAATTATCCCTTCAAATTCACCCTTTGTGTACCCATAATCTTCACCATGTTCCACTGATTCCAGCATCCGCTTAATCGACCAAATAACGATCGGTATTAAGCTGTCGGCTAATCATTAAGTCAGTAGAATTTGTAATAGACAGTTATGATTTCTAATGGATGGAATATGTAATAGACGACACAAGCATAGACGTATTTATATTTTTTTCTAAATTCAGTCCAATTAGATTATTTTATTAGTCTTGCATTTCAATTAAAACTATGTTGTAGCTATTTTGTCATTTACGTACTGAAACAACGCTTTTTATTTTTATGTCAGTCTCATTCATTTTCTTAGGGCATCTCGTAAACTCGTTGACTGCACGTATGTGCGAAATTCGAAAACGAACCTCAAGTTGACGAGCCGATTATAGCGGCACTCGGCACGGTTCAAGATCCCCTAGAACAATAACTGCTTGTCCATTGTTGCAGCGGGCATGCCTGTTGCATCAAGGCAACGGGAAACGGGAACGGCCCTTATGGCGCACGAGACTAACCGTATAACCGAATCCATTTGTCTGCTCGTAATATTCGATGTCGTAATCCGGAACGAGGGTTCAGTCGCCACCGCCCCCGTGGATCCTCTTGATCCACCCCAATGCGCCGGCTATTAATTTTATGCTCGTATGAACAGAGAACTTTCTGTAGTTTGACAAAACTTCAATAAAATTCTTCTTAGACTTCAGAATTTAATCATACGAGATTAGTTGAAACATGCTTTTTTAATTGTTATTATCATAATGTATAAAAATATCAGTAATGATCGAGATTAGATATGATTGGTAATTATAAATTGCTGAGGAACTTTAATTTGAAACTCATTTTGCATACACGAATGTAACTGTGCTGCTCACTTGACTAAATATGCTTTACATTTATTTTTTCGATAATCTCGTATATCTAGATATTTTCCACTTGTCTACATGATATTTGCTCGTCGATGTTCAGACACGCAGTAGGATTTCGTCGAATCAAGGGATCGCAAGCATCCCGTGATGGCCCCGTGTGTTTCGATTTGCATAATAGCTACTCGTAGCCGTGAATCGTGAGGCGAGTCTGCACGCCCAACGCGGTCGCACACCTTGCCGTGCGTATCGAATAGCTGCGAGAGAGTTTCGTTATCGATCGCTATCGAACGGCTCGACCTGTGCGTATGACAAGTGTCGTCACGCAGATTATATTGCCGTGTGATTCGGTAACGCGTTCAAGAATTACACGTTGTACTTATACTTGGATACTTGACGTTAGAGTTAGACGAGTCTTGCACGAGGTGAATCGGTTGGACGGTCGAACTCAGTAAATTTTAGTGGTGCTTTACAGTGCATAGTATATTATATCGATCGTTGAAAGTAACTTCGTTGGTTAATCATTTGCCTTATGTTATATTTATAATTTATCCTTGAACGAACGATCATAAATTAGCTGTATACAAGATAAATGTGAATCATGTGGGCGAGAGGGATAAAAAGTTCGAAGATGTCAATTTCATTGAATAATCTGACGAGTGAGTTTCAAAAATTTAATTAATGCTTATTTTCGTGATATGGAAAGTAGATCATATCTTCGTGTACACATGTGCCTATAACAGAGTTTAATATTTCGAAATTATTTTACGCTTACGTAAGAATCCCTAGCGAACTACAATGCATGGGACTGCACTGTATCTTATCTCTTATCGATTCGCATTATCGGACCTGTTGCAAAGATAACGGAACGTACTACTCGGTTTTGTATGATTTACTGTCGATTCGTGTCCTCTAAGTTTTATGCGATAACGGGCATAGGTTACGTTAAGATCCATTGGGAGATCCGGGACAATGGGAAACTGCACTTCATCGCCGCGTTAATATTGCCATTGTCCGCGGCACGCTAGACGCCGATGCACATCGGTGCAACGGCCCTCGACGGCCTTTGACGCGGGTGAATAGGCCTCCCAGCCACCGGAAGCGCTTTGTCGCGTCAATTATTCCACTTTCGGTTCGCCGAACAACGATACGTGTTCATCTTCATACAATAAATGTAGAAAAACTTCCAATAAGTGGCTGCTTTAACATGGCCATTGTACGAGAGTAGATATCCCTATGCCAGTAATCATCTCGAAACATTGGACACTATAATACAGCGAATGTCTCTAAATCTAAAATTATGAACAATACGAAATTTGTTTTTCCAGATACTAAATCAAAGAATGTCATTAAAATGTGATTATTTGATTTTTCTATGACATATCTTTCTGAGATAGTGCATTAATTATTCGCTTGAGGCTTTCTTCGAGCATTAGATCAATCGCGAGCAATTTTCAGCGACGATCGGTCGGCGTCACTTGCCAAGGAATGCTTTTCCTGTGTGAATCCCGTGCCAACAGCCCGGCTAAGCCATTCCTGATGGCATCGAGTTCTCTTCAGATCCCGAGAGAAAAGTCTCCGCCGACCTCACGGAGAGAAATTGAACTTATTATTTTTCGAGCCGTGTGTCGCTCCTTTTTATTGAAACGCCAAAGCGGAAATCCCCAATAGATTTTTCCCTCCTTTGATCTTTCGCACCTCCGTCCATGGATAAAGGACAAAAGCTGAATTTTGTTTTCACTTTGTGAGAACAGTTTCTTCAATAGTGACAATATGACGGAGTTTCGGTAGGTTTTTTTTTAGTTTCCAAGAACATTTGAAATTCGAACATGGCGATGGTATTCGTATGAATATTTTATACCGCATCGGCAGTCAATCACTAGTACAACTGAAAAAATAAATGGAAACCGGTATTAATGTTTGATGCTTAGGAGGTATTGTGTTTTGACATTAAACAATCCTTTCGGTGATAAAATATTTCACGTGCAAAATTTTATGCTGTTTCATCCGATTAAAAGTCGCGGGGCAGATTTATTGGACATCAGTTAAACACGACGCCAGTTTAAATATATAATAAACTCTCGTTGCTCGCCTCGCTTAGAATACAGCGGCCTTATCAGAGTTACGTATATAAAAAGAAAAATTTATACTACGAGAGTACATGTTAATACTGACGTCAATCGACGTATTTATTATTACTCTTATCGCCTACTTTCTATAAAGTGTGTGACTCCATCTAAAAGTTCAATCAATAACGATTTATCGATTAAGAGAATTTATTAATTATTACATCATTGATTGATTGACTAGCAACAAATTAGTAATTCGATATATTTTCTGAAATTTTTCCTACTTGACGTCTATCAATACCGAAGACGATCGACCTCTCATCGCTCCCGTTTAATTACATCCCGAAATTAGGCGTTTAGGGCGTCGATGCAGTGAGCGTGCCAAGAAACTCAGACTGGAAGATCCTTTCGTCGAAAGTGTCCCCGAGGGATGCTCGAGGCTGATGATCGTCGTTCACGACGAAACTGTCCTACCTCACGTTATCCTCCATTATTCCCTGCTAGGAGCACCCCGAAATTTCCGTTTAACAACGCCCTCCCTTTGTGCCTTTCGCACCCTTGCTCGCTGTTAAAGATACATTCTGTATTATAACCGTTCAACAATGTTATGAATAGGAGGACACGTTCCAATATAGAATGAGGCTAGTTTCAATATAAATGAAGTTATTTGAAGAGGTTCCCTCGGTATTATGTACTCTCTTCATAATAATAAGTGTAATATATTCTGAATACGTAAAAGAATTATTATTTGTTATGTGAGACGTCGAGTGCATTGAAAGGACTAAGATTGTTCCACGATTACCGCGATTTTGACGCGTTAATTGCCTCCGCAAATTAGTTACTTGTTAACGAAAGATGTTATTACGCGAAGTAATTAGCGGTTAGTTGATCAGAACGCTTGCGTGGCTGTGAAATTATAAATTTAGAGGACTTTCAGCGGATCTGCTGATGCGTTATTAAAAGCTTGTTAAATAATAAACTATATATGGAAACTGGAAATTCGTCGGATAACATTGCGAGTGCTTGAAGGAAAATTTTTGCTTCCAAAGGGCAGGAGCCATTAAATATCCATGGGGCCACGGTGTCGGGTATTGATTTTATGGTGACATCGACATGGCCGTCTAACAATGAGTTAAGAGGGACCATGGCAGAGAGACGGGGCGAGAGCGAGTTGAATCGATACGATTCACGGTGAATATTCATCCGGCAACTGTAAACAGTGTCCCAGCTCGAGAGGGACAATAACCCCGGAAAATAAGTTCCACTTCTAAGGGGGAAGTGGATCGAAGTCGTCTTTCATCGCATTATCCTTCCACGCTATCCGCTTTTCCTCCTTTCGCGTTTCCTCAAGACCTTTTCTCTTCGAATGGAAAGAAGGAAATAATAAAACTTTGCGGGGAAACATTGAAGAAGTTTTACTGCAAAAAACATGAATTCATATCTCTTTCCTCTCGGTATAAAAATAAGATTCAAAACGAATTTACCTCATCCCTATTTAATTTTATGTTTCAATACAATCGTCTTACTTTTTAGTTACTTGTAATGTTATACTCGTTTCTGAAATAATTGTTGTCGCTTCTCTGTTATTTTCAAGTCCTACTTCGAATGGAGTTTTGAATTAGATTTCTGCAATATTTCCTTTGGGACAAATGTGTGTGAGAATTTTTCAACAAAATGTTCCAGCGAATGATAACAGCATTTCCTTGGTAATTGGTAGATGGTTTCGTTGAAGCGATCGATTCAATCGTGCGAGGGTAGTAAAGCCGAGTCTAGGGGATGTTTCATCCCTCGTCGGTAACGTAGGAGTTGCTATTTAGCTTTTTCCCGGAAAACTCAGGAAATAGAGGATTACGTACCTCAGGCCGATAACAGCAGCCTGACTGTTGCTGAACACGGTTGTTCATCGACAGTTCTAATCGCAATTTCGTTCAATAATAAAAGTTTTACTGCATATGCCTGCGAGGTGTTTCGTTACTGATGTTTAATTGTATTTTGTTTGTTTGTTTATTTGTTACAGCAAAAAAGCAAAATGGGGCGGCGTTGCGGACGAACAGTTTGGGCTCGGGGGCGAGAACGCCACCACTCGAGAGGAAAAGCAAATTTTCAGCCCTCGGTAGACTCTTCAAACCGTGGAAATGGAAACGGAAAAAGAAATCGGATAAATTCGAAGCTGCCTCATTATGTAAGTATCGCGTCTTTCAAAAAGAGTAGTTCATCGAGTTTTTGTTAATATATTGAATGCGTGAGCGGAGGATTCGTCGGTAACAGAGGGTAGTAAATAGGGGTTGTTCCTTGCGATTGCAGCGCTCGAGAGGAAAATTTCTGTACGAGCCAGCAGAGACGAGTTGGTACAGAAAGGAATTTTGTTGCCCGTGATAAGGACCACGTCGTTTCCGGAAAATGGTAAGTTTTATGGCACGTTATCAGTTTATGGAAAATCAATTTTTTCGGTATCTCATGCGAGAACTGAATTTTACACGTTTTCTATTTGTTGATATAATTAAATTTACAGACTTTGAAGTTTTAGATTTTTAATGTAGCATATCGTATAAGTTTTATTCATTTCTTATATTACAATTTCAAATTTTTATGGGAAATTGAGGTAATAATACGGGTATGAAAATGAATATTGAAGTTATCTTTTATCAGACTTACAAAAATCGCGAAAGTTTGCAATTGCGAATCATAGTTATTATTATATTGTTAGCTGCAGTATTTATAAAATTTCATGCGAGATGTGAATGGAAATTCGCGAATTTCCGAGGGCATCCCTTCGCATGGGAATTGTCCACCCTCTGTCTGATCAGGAAATAAGGAGTCCACGTTTCTGCGGCCCGAAATGACCCGGGACCGGCAAGACAGGATGTTAAAGAACGTAATTAGATTTCACGCTTGTTATCGCGCAGACGTGGTCTCCATTTCCGGAAAATGGGGCGCATGGTCGATGTCTCTTCGTTTAAAAGAGACACGTTTCCAAATCGGTCTACTGCTATTTTTAAAAACTTTTCACCATTTAGTATTATCACTGCATGCATTTTTTCATGGTATAAAAATGTCTTCTAAGAAAGTCAAATTATCTTTGTTTTATGGTAAATTGATACCATCGTTCTTATCGATAAAAGTAATAAGAAAATCGATATTGATTAAAAATCATTTGTATTACGTTATTAAAGTGTAACAAAAAGTAAAAGTGTTCTGAGCCACATTTACCAAATTTCTTAGTATATTTTTGTCCTCAGAAAGATTCCGGTGTTAACATGTAAACTGGCGTTGATTAACACAAGCCCAAGTAGTTTTCTTCTTTCTGTATAATTATGAAACGCTATCTATTTTATTTCGCAGTTTTATTTTTTGGAAGTACTTTGTACGACTATAGTATTAAGCACGATATCAATAACATTCAGGTTCAGAACACTAGAAAAAGGGAAACAAGATAGCGACACGTGTCAACTACTGAATAGTTAAATACTACTCATAGGATCAATTTCACTGTTCAAATCGCACAAGTCACGCTATGTCCGTTGGTCGTTTCTCTATCCCGCGCGAATCCGTCCACGTAAACTATCGGACGCGTTCGTATAGAGCTGTTCCAGACACCCCGGCTATATTCATTAATATTCCGGGGAATCGTTGCTCGCTTCCAGAGACGGCCAGCGACTCGCCGGACGGTCAGAAACCTCCCACGCCGCAGCAGACCCCTCAGCAGCAGCAACAGCAACAGCAGCAACAACAATCGCAGCAGCAACAGCAGCAGCAGCAGCAGCAACCGGGCACGGGGGTGCACGCCGGCGGTGGCGGCAACCCGGCATCGACCCCCACGTCGACCAGTAACACGCAGCAATCCCAGCAATCCCAGCAAGCAGGATCGGCCACGCCGACCCCCACGACTGCCAACCCGCATTCTACAGGACCGCCCAGCAGCAATCAACCCTCGCCGCATCCCTCGCCCCTCTACCCGGGAATGCCGCAGCCTGGCCAGCCGAACGGTAGCACGCAAGGTAAGATGCAAATATGTGTGTAACGATACGAATTCGAGCAGTACTCGAATTTCGCGGAGCCTACGCGAACCGAAGGGGTTGTTTTCCAAGAACCCCCACTAGCGAACGGATACGGTTACCAGATTAACTATCCAGTTCGTTTTGAAAGTTCGTTTGCGATTACGTAGATTCCAGTCGATTCTCAAGGATTTTGATTCGAGCTTGTAATTAGTTTGTTGAATTCTCCGCGTGTACACTCTTCCGTTTGGTACGAGCTCTACAGCACTCGGAAGCCTTACGGATCGATAACTATGTTTGCTATTTCGTTTAGCTAGAGATTGGATTGGTTGCCGAAAGCCTCTCATGATTTTATGACGTAAGTGTTAGGTTTAATGATGTTCGGGGTTTCGGCTGTATTAGGAGAAGGGATATGTTGAGTCTAGGAACTAAGTAATTCAGATGGATGTTGTGCGTCAAGTTTAATTCAACAGGTGAGGAATAGTAAATGCAATATTCTGAGAATTGAATATTCTGATCTTGCAATTCGTAGAATACTATCTTTGATAAAACACTTAATATCGTCTTTAACTAAAACTTTTGATAAGGATAAATTGATTTAATCCTCAATAGAGTTGTGACAAACGTGATAAAACCGTTAACGATTGAAAAATGTTCAATATCGATTAAAAACATAAGCTGTCGTGACATTTGAAAAGTGCGACGTGATCTCGAAACAGATGGAATGCAGAAATTGTAGCTCCCTAATGCAAGTATGGTAATATGAACACGCACAATAGCGCGAGCACAGGCGTTGACCTAATTACCGGGAATCACGTGTTAGAGGCGGCGTTAATGGGCTACCAAGTATGATCGTATATGGTATGTCGCGGTCCATGACGATCGCTTAAATATCTCATGGAATCTCCGCCTCGGCCATTCGAGCTGCGCTTTAAATCTTGCAACGTGAATCAATAGAAAGCTTATGAAACCGTTGTAGCATAAATTATGATTTGTCGAAATTGATTTAGACATCACCTAACTTGTCTCTTTAGAGATTATTTTAGAAATATTATTATTCTGAGAATCTAGCATTCGATATTCATAAAGTGATAAATCTTGCTATACATTTTTATTCAGATGTAGATGATAAATCTGTTGAGATTGGTTAGGAAAACCCGAAAGCTATGTTGAATTCTTTCCATGCAAATCTCGGATCCCCGAATCTCGTATCGAGTTCACAAATCCGCGGGCTTAGGGCACAACCCCTCGATCTCTCACCCCTTTCCCGTGCTCCATATCTGACCATCGGCCAAACGAGACTATCGTGTTTCTTTTGCGGTTTAAAGGGAAGCCACGAAAGCTCGTTTATCATGCGAACGCGTAACGCGATATCATCCGAAGGGTTCTATTCACCCCCGATTTCCAACCCCTATCCGAGATTTCTTGAGACTTCGTCCGTCTTTTCCTTTTGTCGACGACGCTACCTGTTGCGATTCGTGAATTTATTTGACACGGTTCCACGTGTCGTGCAACTTTGATCTCTCCTCCTGTTTGCTCAGAATTTGCTTTCCCGAATTAATGTGAAATTCGTGATTCGGCCAATTTGCACGATGGATGCATGCCGCGGATTACGCAGAACCATTTAGTCACGAACGCGGTACATGCGAGTAATGAAATTCTTGCACACGGTGCAGGGAAACTCGGTCTTCAGCTAGGAAGCCTGAGATCTCTTCAAATTTTTATTATTCACACGGGTGCATATTAAATGTTAAACCGAGGAGAAGATTTTTTTTAAAACAGATTGATTGCCTGTTTTTATGGTAACGCATCATTCTCTTTTCATTCATTGGGAAGCATTTTAATTCTGAAGTATAAAACATGTTCAGTTCATTATACAATTAAAATCGTGCTAAATCATACGTACAGTAAAGGTTCATACATACAGTTTAATGTTCATAACGTTGGAACGAAATGTGCTGTCCCCAGGAGTTAAAATCATGCCGAACTTCATTCAAAATTCTCGTTTCGGGAAGTTGCGAAAGTCGAGGTATCTAACGAGACCACCGTCTCCGTCTCGGTGCTTTTGAATGCACGTTTCTCTCCCTGAACGCGCGGAGGATGGTGGAAAACGGATGGATAAAAATAAAGAGGCTGCAGATGCGGAGAGCGATGGAAAGTGGGAGTAGGAGTGGTAGACACTTCAGTACTCGCGATGCACGCAGAGAAGCGTATCGATCGTCGTTGCCTCCCATGGTTCTTGCCCACGAGACAGACGAGGAGCATACGGTAACCCGGCTCTCCGCTCAACAGTGTGTACGACGTTTTATCCTCTGTTTGCACCCTTTTCCGTCCTGCAGCCTCCATCACGACCGCTTAATTCACCCCGTCTTCCCCCGGTTCATCCCCCTGGCACCCTCGCCCGGTTTTCGTCTTCTCCGTGTTTAGCTAGAAAGCTGGTCCGAAAAGGGGCCTAGCTGAAACATTTCTATGGGCGTCGGATCGATCCCGTTGCGACGAAATCCGGCGAACTTCTCCTCGGTTTTCAGCTACCTTCCGATAAGAGAGGATTGAAGGAAGTCTTCTTTAAATTAAGGGTTGCCTAAGGCTTCTTAAGTAATTACTCACCGGGGAGATCAATGTTTAGCTCGTAAGACGATCCGCAATTTTCAGCCTGTAAATTCTGTTCCTTTTTCACTATTTTCATTTATTATTAATTTCTGAATTACGCTTAAAAGCTTTTTGCTGGAGTCAGTATTCTCTTTACCGTTTACTTCCTTGGTGATAAATGATCGTTGAAAGGAGATTTTGATGGTAGGAAGCATCAGCGTCGCTATTAACGAGACTGAACGCGTGGGTGTTTGTAGTTGACGGGTCTCTGGGTTAAGGAGATTGTTTGAATCCACCGAAGAGAGGAGGAGTCCGGGATTGGGGGTGACACTCTCGACTAACCGCTAAACGTTCCAGGGGCGGGACGTTTATTGCGTCGTTCGGGATGCCCGTTTGAAGAAGACGTTTGTTATTCCGTTCATGCAATTCAGTGTTTGCTCCTGTGGGGAAGATCGAGGGTGAATTCCGGCCGTAGCTCAGGGGAGTCGTACAAATTTCGTCGGGTGGATTACACGGCTCGCCTGTTTGCAATTAGCCTCTTTCTGTTGATATTTAAACCGAGATTCGTATAATTTTTCGTCTTTGAAAATTCGCTTGAAAATTTGTATTTATCGTTTTAGTGGTAGAGTGGTTCAGAAGTTTTTCTGAATACAAAGCGACGGGTGTTCTGCTGTGGGTTATTCCCTTCTGTTTGCTTTCCTTCTTCAGTGAAGGATTAATCGGTTTTTTTTAATTAACGATCCCTGGGGAAATGCGGATGGTAAACGCATTAGGACGTGAAATTGCAAGATAAACATGTTGGGAATACCAGCTCGCGTAATTCTTAGTGAAACTTTCCGAATGTTAATTTAAAAAATGTTATTACCCACGAATTGTTTTGTCGATGTACATAAAGGAATAAATGAGAAATTCATCTTATGAAGTATACAAGAATATCTGGTTAGTGTAAAGCTATTAAAACTAAAAAAAACTGTTCTCGTGCAGTTTTCAAACTTCCATGATGGAAACTTGTCGTAAGAAAGGCAAATCTTGGTCGAGAAACGATCGTGAAAGCAATTAATCACCGGCACGAAATTCAGTCGTCGATTTCTTGCACGAAATTCTCATGATACCTTCAGGTCTATGTATATTAGTTCCTCCAGCGCTGTTAGTCTGTCTAAAAAACTATTTTGCATATTGCAGTATTTTCATGTTATTTCTTAAATCAGTTATTAAAGGGTGAAAAAGAATTAAGAAGCTTTAATACCTTGTGAATGCAAGTATCACGTCTGACTACATACGTGCCGTTTCTACTTACAGTTCTTTTCTATCGCGTGACAGTGGTTCTATGCGTTATGTATATTTATAAATCAACATTATTAAATTATACATGAAAGAAATTATCGATTATATTTTGTAAATAAATTCTGTATAAACTTTGGAATATTTTATGGATATCAATATTTACAAAGTCATTGCAAAAATATTCCATATATTTCTTCTTAGCGTTTTTCTTTCAATTAGAAAATGGAAAATCTTTTCATTACTTGATCTTCGAACACGTTATCATGAAACAGACGAAACCTTGTCCGAAATTCAGTGCAGTAAACGCCTGCCCGGCGTTCTGAAGCTTTAGCGTGCATATTTC